AACGCGTTTTCAAAGATGAAAATGAAGTAACCAGTTCGGCCTCGTAATAATTCTGTTCAGTGTTCCAATGTAGAAGGTCAGTTTTTGTTCTTTTTCTCTATCGCATTCACAAAATTTTCCCCGCGTGAGGACCCGTGACGTTCTGCCGGGTACAACCGACGGACGATCACGATGAAGTCCTGGGTTGACGAATCGGTCCGAACGCTTCAGGTTAGCTGCTCTGGGGCAGGACTGTAGGAGGAGTCAATCTTTCGTAGTTTTAGGCTAACATGACGACGTTTCTGCAAAGTGAAATGTTCTCAGTGGCAGCGGGGAGCCACCCAGTGCCTTGGCGCCGTCCTACATCAACACGTCTCATAATTAATGGTTCCCGTCATTAGCTCTCCTTCCGCCGTCGACATCCGAGCCTGCCTGCTGCACTGATTTTCCACCGATCACGATGGAATCGTAGGAGCTCAGGGCTGCAGGCCAGAAACACGAATCCCTCACAAATCTCCTGGGAAAAACACAAAATCACAGCTGCCAAAGAGAACAAGATTAAAAAGTCATTATTAGAATCGTATTGGTTCGCGATGTCATTAATATCCCACCTGCAAATGGCAAGACAGACTTTTGGGACACCCTGTACAATAAAACGTTGTTCGTCGTTGAGTGGTGTCTTTGCAGCGGACACTGGACCCTGAAGATCTCTGATCTCGCGGCCGAATTACCGTCCAGCAACTTCTGACGTCCGTGGTCTTCGGTCGGGTGTCGCGAGAGAATGGACGCTTGTTTATTGCAGAGCAGCTCGTCGAACGTGTTCCTCCGGCAACCATTGCGCGGTCATTCATGCCCGGGGGGGCGCTTCTTGTGCTGTTGCAGTGGCGGGTGGGTTGGCTGAGGAGCGCGTGCCCTGGGAGGCTGCCCGGCCTTGTCCCGTCTGTCGCCGCATCTACAGCAACAACAGCAACCTACGGCGTCACATGAAAACCGTGCATTCGGAGAAACGTCGCGAGCGACTGCCCCCAGGTCGGTGCCGGTTCAAGTACTCGCTCATGTACGTGCAGCCTCCGCCTCCAGCGCAGTAGACGGTCTCCGAAACGTCGGACTCTTACTCCTTATGGACACGGTTAATAACCCGAGAAGCCGAACGTCGTATTCGGGAGGAGGAGGAGGAGGTGTGAGACTGAGGTGTTTCGTGGTTTTCCTCAGTTCCTCCAGCCAAAGGCAGATTAGACCACGACCGCTTCCTTTCACACCCTTTCGAGTTTCTTATTCACTGTAATGTCCTCATTCGACGCTGTATAATCTGTGTTACTGAAGAAGCGTTCTTAAATAAATGATTATATAAATTATCCGAGAGAACGTCATCGCATTGACCCAACCTTGAAGTATCCGTATTGTACAGGGTCAGCCAAATGTCACGCAACTTTATTGTGGCCCGCCAATTCCCCGGGGGATTCGTAATGTCACAAAAGAGGGTGAAAGTGACTCAGTTACTCTTCTTACGTCTGCAAAGAAATGGCGAAGCGTTGCCTGGGATGTGGTTACCATTCATCTCTCAGTGCTCCGTCTAAGTTCTTCCAGGGTCTGACTGTTGCTCGCGAACACGTTCTGTTTCCGGGGATATCAGTTCCGGCGATTTGGTTCTGGCAACTGACGGTCTCGTTTAGTTTCGTCCAGCAAAGAAATTTGTGCGTAATGAAGACCAGAGGACCAACAACCCGGCCTCGAAAAAACGTGAAAAATTCACGATGCATTCCAAACGTCCCGATTGCCATTGGTATTGTGGGCGAAGCTGTTCATGTGTGCTGAATAGGGTAACGTTCGAAATGCATTACCTCCGCGATTTAAGGGTTTCCTTTACAATTTCCAGCTACTGACATAATAATCTCCCTCCTTTGTTCATTACTGTACTCGCTAGAGTCCATCATTGAACAATTTAATGAGCCAGCTGAATCTACCGACCCCTTCAGCAGTATATTCGTTACACGCATTTTAACAA